GTGTTAAGTGAAACGTGCGTTTTGGGTGAAATATGGGCATGCCATGTTTACAACCGTAATTCAGCCCGTATTTCGCCCAAAACCGGGTTTTTGAGGCAGATTCGAGCCAAAGGAGAGGGAATCGAGTTTTTGAGCAAAAATAGAGCTTTAGAGAGAGAAAGTGCGAAAAACAAACTCTATGAGCTATTTGGAGTGGATTTCTCACCATTGAAGCCCAGATTGCATCCCCAGGAGTGAAGATCGACATCCCAGAGCAGATTATCCCCATCTTTATGAGTATGACTGCTCTAATTTCTGTTTTCCTGTCTCTCTCTGTGGAGTAGAACCTTCTCTCACTTGGGTATGAAGAACCCTAGTTCCATGTGTTAGGAATCTGGATTGTAATGACTTTGGATTGATATACTGATTGATTTTAATCTATTGATGCATGATTCATTGAGTCAATTGAAGCCTGATCATCTTTTCTTGATTTTTTCTGCAACCTGAGATAAATAGAATCTGATTAGGTTGTTAGAGCTTCATTAATCGGTAGTAGTAGATTGGTTATCCGAGAGTTAATCGATTTACTGCTTTGTACTAGAATCCAATTCCAATGATGGAGTTCTGTGTTTATTGCCTCAGCAGTCTATCCCGGTGAAGGCTAGTCGCCTGCCGGTTAGTCTGCCCTGAGAGGGCTTGGTCAGCTTAAGAGATTCCAAGCTACTGTCGGATCTTCCGCAATTTAATCAACAGTAAATCAACCAAAGGTAATTACAACTTTGACCTAACTAAGGAGCTAGGGGGACTCATTCCCGAGTGACTCTTCCCTTACTTAAGAACTTCGAACCATTTCCTGCTTTCTTACTGCTTTTGCTTAAAATCACAATCACTCGACTTAGTTTGCTAGATAATAGATAATCACGGAGTAGGAAGTAGATCTGGACCCCGGGTTGATAAATAGAACTTGCCACTAATCTGCATTTCCGGACTGCGATTACACTTGGTCACAGTTTGGTGTTGTGTTTTAGCGTGTCATGTGTTGATGTGATATAATTCAGGATAGCCTATAAAGGTGAATATGTGATGTAGAATAGTCTATAAAGACGATGGAATGGCAAATGGGAAGCCTACGGGCGATGATGGGATAAGGTATAACCTAAATGGCTATATGATGATACTGGGAAGCCTTTAAAGCGCGAATGTGGGCGATAATTTGTTCATATGAAATGGTCCATGTGACTATGTGCATGTTATGATTACGTAAATGGATATGTGTTAAATGATTGATGGTACTGATTGATTGTTGTGGTGTGATTAACTAAAGAATTGTCTGATCACCTAAATTAAACTTAAAGATGCCCGTTGTGTACTATATGATATGAGGGTCCGACGGCCTGACACTTGATGTCAAAAGATGCAAAGTGATATAGGGTCCGACCGGCCCAACACTTGATGTCAAAAGTTGCGAAATGATAAAGGGTCCGATCGGGCAGGCACTTGATGCCAAAAGTTGCAAGATACCTGGGGAAAGTACACGACGTGGCAAAGTAATGAAAATGCATATAATGAGCCTAACCAACTATGTATGTGTGTGTACATTTGTGTGATGGGTGTGATATTAGTGTGAAGGGAAATATTTATGCATGCTATACTCGATGGAACATTTATATTTGCTATACTCAATGGATTATGGTGATTTATATGAAATGTGGATATGTGATTGAGAATGAAATATATGCGTAGATGAGCATGATTGGATTTGAATGGCATGAATAGTTATACATTTGAGCATATATATATATATGGTGGCTTCTATCGTACCCCGGGTAAATTCCGGGGTATGGCGTACCTTGGGTGATCTTGACCGTACGTGTGATCTCGACGGCTGAGATTAAATTCCGTTAAATGATTTGTTTTTTCGGAATTTATATTAAATAAAATTACAGATCAACTCATAGAATTAGTTTTTCTTTCATTTTAGTCCATTGTAAACCAAATCGGATTGGTTCTGTTTAGTTATTGAATTGACCCAAAATCCAACCACCCTAAGAGAAAGGACACCGACCTTGCCCCACCCGCAGCCCTACCCCTCTCCTCCAAATCCCGACCTTGGACCTTCTCTCTTCTCCATTTTTCTGTTCGAATTGGGAATAACCTTGTTCTTCCTCCCTACTCCTGTAAATCATCCCCGCCGTCTCAGAAAATGGCAGCGATAATTGAACCACTCTGTTTCCTCCTCTTATTCTTCTTCGTTTTCCCGTTCTCGACTGTTATATTTCCCACCTGTCCTATGATTCCTCCCAATCGATTGTTTGAACCCTAAACTGGCCGAATATCGCAGGTAATCTCGGCGTCAAGCTGTGCAAGCATAAGCACCCCCATCCCTTTGAATGAAAACTAATTGTTGCTTGTATGAGTAATTCACTTGTGTAAACAGCTGGGCAGGCGGAGATGATTGCACTGGAGAAGGCAATGAAAGAGGCCATGGTTCCTTCAGGATCTGCTAGGGAGGTAAGAAAGGGATTTTGAATTGAAATTGCCGAAATTGATTTTCGAACTACAATGCTGTGATTTTGGATGGATCTCTGATATGGATGAGGTGTATTGTAGACTGATTTGGGAAGAGAGGTCTCGTTGTTTGAAGCGGAGGCTACAGCTGTGGAGTCTGTATTTCAAAAATTCTATTCCTACATTTTTTTACACTGAAACCGTGGGGTTCGAACTAAACAGAGACCCTGACAGGCCCAGTCCTGCTTCTATCTTCGTGGTTAACTTTGACAAGGTAAGGGTTTTCACGAATTGTGGTGACGGTTTTATGCATTGATGATAAACCGAGTTAATGTGTACCGGAATTAGGTGCTTAAGATGTCCCTTTCCAGGATCATGTGTGTTTTTGGTCCATTCTTTCAGTAGTCTTTGACATGATCTGTTGAGGAGCTTGTTTGGTGGTTTTCTTTTTCCAGGTCAGAATGGATCCGAGGAACAAGGAAGTCGATCTTGATAGTTTCATGTGTTAGCACATTTGATAAGTTGTCTGAAGAAGATATGAAGAAACAAGAGGGTGATTACATTTATAGGGGGAGCAACTCAAGTTTGGTTGAGCTCAGACAAATATTATTTGAATGGACGATATGCGACCTCTTTCATTTTAGCCACATTCTTCACTAGTGATACTTTTAATCATGTTTCGGGTTCTTCCATCTTTATTGAAAAATGGTTTAAGGGTCCACTTGATTGGGCTGGTTGTTGGACAATCCTCCAGCAAATTTCGATGGGTTACTTCGTGAAGACGTGATGGGAATAAGTTTCCCGAGGCAAGTAATCTGGCCAGTTTATATCTATTAGTTTTTATGCGAATCTCAGAGGTGGCTGTTTCTGTTGCTGCTATTTTGGCTATCTGTCTGCAATGTGAGATTACTGTAGCGGCTCCATTTCTGTTTGGCAAACTAGCCTCTGGCTGTGTACTTGTGTTTATTCGGCTGAATAATAAACGTGTCCTTAAATCGTTACCATAAAGAGGGCATTTGTTGGAAAGGAAGAAACAAAACTAAATGCTAAAATGTTTTAGCAGAACACACTATGCGACTAGATATCCTTAAATCGTTACCATAAAGAGGGCATTCGTTGGAAAGGAAGAAACAAAACAAAATGCTAAAATGTTTTAGCAGAACACACTATGCGACTAGATATCTTTAAATCGTTACCATAAAGAGGGCATTCGTTGGAAAGGAAGAAACAAAACTAAATGCTAAAATGTTTTAGCAGAACACACTATGCGACTAGATATCCTTGAGCCCTGAATTCGCCTCTTCTGGGAAGCTGCTTTCCTGAATTAGCCTCTTCTGGGAACCTGCTTTCCTCTCTTGGGAAGCTATTTTGTACTCGAGTGACTGAGCTTCAAACCAGGCGCATTCTGATTTGCTTTCTTGAGCACCTTGTGTCTTATGTAATTGGTAGGCTCTTTGACTAGGTACAATGCCACCTGCATTCTTCTCAAATGATTGCATGGCTGTAAGGACAGAAAATATAACGTATTAATACAATAGTTGACATAGTTTTTTTAATGTGCTCGTAGAAATAAATGGGCCTAGGTAGTAGGTGATTTCTTACCCAAATATAATAGTCATCATCCCAAGTTGATCCCATCATCCACACACAAACCCAGATCCCACTATCATTCCTGTTTAGAAAGATGCATTACGTAAGACACAAATATTTTATTTTTCTAGTGAAATTATGACCAAATATACATTCTTACTTGTGTCGTTGTGTAGGAACTTCAGGAGTGGTCAAAGAAAACTCCTTAATCTGTGGTGGTTCACATGTTGATTGAACTTCCTTGTGTAAGGCATCGAACAAGTCGTTCAGAAATTCAATCTACAACGTTCAAAAAGTAACCTATGAATTACAAAATTTTGTTGGAAAATATAATGCCACATAATTGAATTACAAACACGTGTATTGAAGTATGTATTCAATGGCACAAATTTTAACTATACCATTGTGTTAACTGCATTCCTACGGATTGTCTGGCGCTCTTTTGATGGGCATGAATCCAGAATGTGTACTTGTTTCTGGTCCATCAAAATTATAGCTAAATACCAGTGGATGCCTTCATCATTCATCATATCTTTCATGGGAAGACAAACCTTCACAGGTACGAGAAAACAATCCAATTAACTAATTAGTTTTCCGACATAATTCATTCAAGAAATTAAGCAGAAGGGCATGCATAATTCATGCGCACATATGTTGTGAAAACCGCTACTAAATAAGCAGAAATGAGAAGGAAGAATTGTGGAGAAGTCATAACCTTTCTACAGTTATGAGCTTTTGATAGGAATTTTGTATCATATAACTCTAATGCCTTTGCAGATGTCATGCCATAATTAACGACCATATCCTGGTAGGAAAATGAAGTTAAATCATTGAACACTAATCTTACTTAATAAAAAACCAACCCTGTGTAAACTGAATTAGAATTACAAAGCAAAAGCAACACTTACCTGCAATTCCGTAGGCAGAAAGCACACTCCTCTTCCACGACCAGTATCGCTTTTAACTTCGTCCAAGGTCAAGTGGCATGCTAACGCTGTAATTACCTAAAACACAATAGAAATAAAATCCAATGATTAAAAATCGTTAAGCACGTTCAGGTCAACTAGGGGCTTTTCGTAGAAGTACTTACATCAGCATCAACGCTTGACTCGGGGCATAAGCTCCATAATGTCTGCCTGGTATATGATTTCATCATTGTTTTGACCAAAGCTTCATCAGGAGGAAGGTCTTCTGCAAATATATAGTGAGCAAAACTCACTTCTTCGTCACTGTAGTTGACGGCTGTAGGGAGCTCAAACCTTGTGGTACCCTTCAATCATGGAGAACGAAAAAATAGAGGAAATAAGAAGAGGTTTTCACTAGGATTACAAGTGGCGGAGAAAGGAACGAAGGAAAACAACGAAAATAGTGGGCGAAAAGGAAGCATATGTACATCACTAGGATTACATACCTTCATTGACAATTTTTGTGGAGGCGTGAGGGGTTTGTTTTGCACACCTAGCTCATAATGTTCCAGCCCTGGTTCAGCATCAAGAACAATCACCTTCGAGTCGGGTGTAGGTGGGGGGATGACGTCTTGCATTCTTGTTTTCTTTGCAGGAGATACATAGTTCTCCAATTCCTACAATAATGAATAATCAAGTCAGAATAAGTTTTGTATAAACAACCTACTGTTAAAGCTCCTGGACGAACCATAGAGTTGGCTAGAGAACGTGTTAGGCGTACAGTAGACTGACCGCTCGTCATCTTGTTCTTCTCCCTAATATAATTGTACAAAAAGCAACGAGAGAGTGGAATATAAGAACAAATACAACGAAATAGCTGACTAAAAAGTTAAAGAAAACACATTAGCGGATTGCAGAACTTACACTTCCTTCCCCATAATGTTACAGACACAATGTTGACCAAAGGGCCTCTGCGCTACTTTTAGTTGAATGAGTTTTGGGCAAGATGTTTGGCCATATTAATAGATGCGCCAGAGGGGTGTTTAACCTCGTCTATTAGGAAAACCCGTGAGATATCAATTAGAGTTTTTTTATATGTGGGAACTTCTATATTTATCCACCTCATTAAATGAACTTAATAAGGAATTAACTAGTTACGTGTGAACTTCTATATTTATCCACCTCATTAAACCGATTAGGGGCTTCATTTTAGGGTTTTAAGGTTCGAAAAGACATGACCACGAAAGCAGATGGAAGAAGGGAAGAAGACGATGCCAATTTAACCTCCTTGGTTGGTTGTGGCTCCGCCAGTTTATGAATTCACGTTTGGCCCATTTTCAACCAATAAATTAAGAGTGATCTAGGCTTCCCGCGGCAGGCTTGGTTATGCGAACCAAGGAGGTTATTTAGGCCCACTAGTTTTATTTAAATAGGCCAAACGAATTCAGTCCAGCCCATGGATGTTTTGACCCAAATTGTTTTGTTAAAAACAAGGATTTAATTTCACAGCTTATATACAACCTCCGTTAGGTTTTTCATAGTGAAGCGCCAGCGGAGAGGCTAGTTCCTTAGTACTACTTTGGCTAGTTAGGGTTAGTTGGCTTGGACAATCACAAGCGCGACGATCATGGAAGACGATGAAATCGTCGAAGTGGAAAACAATGAAGATATTAACAACAGTAACGGTTCAACTATTCACAACGTTCACCAAAGTTCAGAGGTAGAAGATGATGATCTTGCCGATCTCTTACTTCTACAGCAAGAAGATATCGAGAAGCTAAGATTCGCTAACACTAAAGAAGCCTATGATTTTTGGAGGAACTATGGGCTGGTCACCGGCTTTGACGTCAGGAAAGAAGATATTGGCCGAGATAAAGACAAGGTCATGATATGGCGTCGGTTTGTATGTTCTGGTCAAGGAACAAAGCGCGACCGAAAGGGTGAACGAAAGAGGGAACCAAAAGGAGAGACGAGATTTGACTGCAAAGCTAGGATTCGTGTACGACTAGACAAGTCAGATGGGAAGTGGTTTGTGGATACCTTTCATAACGTGCACTCTCACGTAACGGTTCCAAAAATATACCGACACTACATGAAAGGGAATCGACAGTTGAGTGATGCAGTTAAAGCAGCAATCAATTTCCGGAGAGCAGCAGGAATGAAAACATCACAGATTGTTTCACTAGCGGTTGCAGAGGCAGGAGGCTATAGCAAGATGGGGTTCACGAGGAAAGATGCGTATAATTACGTGGACAAAGATCGGAAGGAACAGATTAGTGATGGTGATGCTGCGACAGCACTAGCTTACCTACAGGCGAAACTAAGTGCGGATGAACAGTTCGTAATTGAGCTAAAAAAAGACGATGAAGACAGGCTTGTTAACTTGTTCTGGGCAGATAGTATTTCAGTGGCTGATTATGCATGCTTTGGAGAATTATTGGCTTTCGATGCGACTTACAAAAAGAACGTCTACAATATGCCTCTAGTCATTTTTTCAGGTACTAATTCTTTTATTTTCGGTTCATAGTAACTTATATTTTCATTCCTATAAAGTGTAAAGAATTTATTCATTGAAACTTAATACCACACGTTAAAGAGCCTAATGCAATATCACTTCCATGCGTTATGGGTACAGTGTAATTCTTGTCTTATTAGTGAAGTAATTTTAATAACCTGTTTATTTTTTAGGTGTGAACCACCACTTCAACAGTTGCATATTTGGATGTTCATTTTTGGCAAATGAGAAAGAAGAAAACTATGTATGGGTTCTAGATGCCTTAAGGAGAAGGTTGGGCGGTGTAGATCCTAAAACTGTTGTTACAGATGGAGATAAAGCCATGCGCAATGCAATTCAGCAAGTATTCCCCGATGCGACACATCGTTTATGTGCTTGGCACATAGACAAAACTATTGCCAGAAAAGTGAGGGACAATCCTAACATCTTGCCACAATGGAAACATTTCGTGTCAGCTGATTGGGAACCTTCAGTATTTGAAGAGAAGTGGAAAACAATGGTCGAGGAGTGCTCACAGCAGCATAACAATTGGGTTTAACATCTATTTGACCAAAGAACTGAATGGGTGTATACATACTTGCGCTCAAAGTTCTTTGCAGGCTTGTCAACAACGTCTAGATGTGAAGGAATCAACTCTCAGCTTACCAAGTATATCGAAAACAATCATAATCTACTTGAGTTCTTTATTCATTTTGATCGTTGGGCTAGGGATATGAGGGAGATGGAGCAACAAGCTGATTTTGAGTCCATCCATCGTGAACGGACAATAACGTCTAATATATTAGTCTCACTTCAGAAGAGTGCGTCTAAATTATTCACAAAAGAAGCCTTTTTCAAATTCAGAGATGAGGTTGAAAAGTCGGGAGCTTGTGTAAGGATGGATTCAGAGATATCGGAAAACCAACGCATTTACAGAGTGACAATGTCAGGTAAACAAAAGGTTTTTCAGGTCACATACACAATTGAGCCCTTCGCTATGGAGTGTAGTTATAACTATTACCACTATATGGGAATACCATGCGCTCATATGGTTCATCTACTGAAAGAAGAGGGTATGCTGGAACTTCCAGAACGGTTGGTAAAGTTAAGGTGGTCAAAGAAGCCGAAGACACTTGATAGCTTACAACAACCACACAATATGGACGAGGCTAGACTATTCACATTCAGGTTTGTAGTTACTGTATAAAGCTGGAAATTGTGTGTTACTGTGTTTAAGAAAGCAGTTCAGATGTGTTTATTAAATACTAAGGTGGTACCAGAGGGGGTTGACCCATTTTAGAACATAAGCTTTCACTTTTTCGTGACGTTTTAACAGAATAATATTGAATGTGGTTTTCAGATATGGGCTTCTTCAACAAAGCAGCTCCCAGTTATGGTTAAAAGGGGCAAAATCAAGCGAAAGCTTCAACCTTGCTCGTACAGGAATTGCATCCATATGTGAATCACTAGACATGATGAACGAAGGTGATACTGAGATCCCAGATATCAATAGACCAAAGGCAAAAGAGAAACTTTTGGATCCACATCCTGTGAAATACAAAGGTTCGGGTGGACAAGAAAACAAAAGGAAGAAAGGGGAGCAACGAATGTGTAGCAGATGTGGCGTATTGGGTCATAAAAAAGCACTTGTAAGAAGCCTCCTGATTATGTGAGGCCTACAATACCAGAACCTACTGATACTGAAACTAATGAAGAACCAAATAGTGAAAACGTCGCCAACAACGGAGCTGACCAGCAAGCACCACACATTGGCAGAAAACCAAAACATTGCAGTAAATGTGGGAAGGATACTCATAATGCCAGAACTTGTCCAGAGTTATCAGAGGAGGATACTGAAGAGGATGTTGATACAACCGACATCCCTGATCCACCAACTGTAATATTAGAAGTTCATTGTGCATGTCTAGAATACTTTTGGGAAACAATTATTTTCGTTGGAACTAAACTTTATATATTCAATGTTGCAGAAGAAGCCATGTACTAGAAGGGAAGGCCTGAGGAGCAGCAAGAAGGCTAGTTGAAAAGATTGGCATGGATTCTAATAACCGGAGACACATTTCGAATCTGGCCATTTGTTGGATACTCTATGGACGAGTTAGGTTCTTTGATTGGAGGACGTTATGATGTTTGGTTGGGTATTTTCATACTTTCTGGTCCTGGTTGTTCATGTTTTAGGCTGGGATGCTAGTTTGGTTGCCTTCTGGCCCAATGGTTGCTGCTCTTGGCCCTCAAATGTACACAATATGTAGAGCTCGTTAATCAACTTGGACAAATAGGTTTTTGTTGGTTAAGTGGCAAGCAAATTGTTTGTGTGATTCATATTAATAAGCGTACACAATTGAACAAAGAATGTTGATTGTAGTCCAGCGGATGGAAGTTTGCAATGCCAATTTATGTCTTGGGTTCGACACCCATCAGAAGCATTTCAATTTTGGTTTTAAGTTATTACTATTGGGAATAAGCCCGCGCTTCGCTGCAGGATGATTCATATTAATAAGCGTACACAATTGAACAAAGAATGTTGATTGCAGTCCAGCGGATGGCAGTTTGGAAGCCTAATTTTTGGCTTGGGTTCGAAACCCATCAGCAACATTTCATTTTTGGTTTTAAGTTATTCCCCTTGCAACTTATTTCATTAAGGACATCTGCATATCAATATTGTCTAACACTGAATATAGGTACTTCCCTAAAAAAAAACACTGAATATAGGTACATATGCAAAAGTATTTCCCAAAATGTGTCCTAAGCATTCACAATAGATTCACAGTTTGACCGAACTACCTGATTAAGCCAGGTGGTAGTTGTTACATGAAAAAAGGC